ATAACTAGGGTCAATACTGATAATTCTATTTTGACTATATTAAATTTAAACTTTATGAATTTCATCATACTGCAAATTTCGTTTTTCCTCCAATATTTTCTATTCAACTGGCTTTCATCAATATTTTCAAAGAAATATCCAAATGCTTTTGTGAAGTTTGAATAAAATCTTTGAGGATGGTCATTCTTCTGTAACTACTGTGCACAATACTCTATAGAATACAAGTAAAATAACAATGCTCTTTTTTTTTTAATCTCCTCAAATATGTTTTCATTAACTTCTAAGTTAGGATCTGTCAAAGGAATTCCTGGAAATTCTTCAAAAGACTTCAAAAACTGATTGACCAGAATTGAGTTAATGTACACTTAGAGGCCTAAAGCTAACAGGTTGGAATGTTTCCGGTCCATGGAGTGGTTGTTTTCTGTTTGGCTGGTTTCAATCCCCTGAAACTGCTTGCCCACCTCTATGTCTGAATTAACATCTTGTGACTAATGGAGCCATCTGCAGCCGTAACATTAGAGACTACTAATTTCCACAATCCAAAATCTAAGACTGTCCTCACACAGTCATTCTATTGAAAGACCTAAAAAGTAATGTTAATGATGGACTAACCTAGAAACCAATATCTGTTCCTTGGAATTTGCTAGCTTCCTCTCACAAGGCCCTGAGATAAGAAGAATTCACACTGCCCCTCCTTTCCTGTGAGTCAACAGGTGGTAAATAAGGTCAAGAGATAGCTGTAACTCTGGTTTGCCCAAACAAGATTAATTAGCACACCTGAAGCCCTAAGGTCTGCTGACCCTAATAGTGAGACCATCCGGCCTCCAAGGGTCATGTACTCAATGGACAGAGGATCCCACCCCCTCCCTAAGCTTGTGGGTTTGCCTTTAAAAACACCTGGGCCCAGGGGAGGGGGCTTCTCCCTAGCCTGTGTGCTGGAGGAGCCCGTTTGTGCAAACGTTTCCTGTTCATTAAAGCCTCTTGCGTTTTGCAGCAACTGGACTGGACATTGAATTCTTGGGGTATCGACCGAACCTGGAAGACTCCTCATTCTGAGGGTCTTACACTATATCCTGGTGGCCATGGGCTGATTGACAGTATCCGGTGTTCCTGAAAGCACCAGATTTGAGGGTGAACTCAGCCCTATCAGTTTTCCTGTTTGAACTGCCTGGAGCAACAACCTCTGTTGTTCAAGGTGCACTTTCACAGCCTGGACCTGAGCAATGAGCTGTGAGCTCAGTCAAATTTAACCTCCAAACCCTGTACTGAAAGTTTCCCACACTACAGAGCTGGTTCCCTCGTTTCCTTGGACACATTTCCATGGACTGGACTGGAACCAATTATTTTTTTAAACACACTTTACTTATATGTATGAGGATGAACATTTGCAAACTAATTGTTCAAGTAGTTTTTTTTTTTTTTTGCTTAAATTATTTTCTAGTGTGAAAAATATGCAGCTTTTTAAAAAATTTCTAGAGCTTTTGCATTTACACTAAAATATAAACCAGTATTTAATAGACAACTTAACAAAGTATAAGACAGTATTCGACAATGGATGGTAGTAGTTACAATAGCACTGTAGTCCATACTACCCTAAAATTAAGGAGATGGCCAAGCCTGATCTCAGATTCACAGTCACCCTGTCAGCCTCCTTAGCACCTCAGACCTGAGTATAAGACTGGCTAAATAAGAAACCTATCACCCCACAAACAAACACACACACACACACACACACACACACACACAAAAAAAACCTTTTTAAAACACTTTGCTTATTTGTAATTGCAGTTTAGAACCTAAATAACACTTTAAAAACTTGTCTTTTAACTCTTTTATTTAATTTATTTAGCTATATGTGTTTGAGTGTTTTCCTCAATGGTATGTGAGTATAAATGTACGATGTGTGTCCCTGCTGCTTACATAGGCCAGAATAAAGCATCAGGTCTCCAGGAACTGAAATAAATAGTTGTGCATCATCCTGTGGGTATGAGACCTGAACCCAGGGTATCTGAAAGAGCCACAAGTATGCTCAAATGTTGAGCCATCTCTTCAGGCCCCCATTCCACCTTTTCTCTCTAATAAAGACATGGTTGTATTCCAGGGCAGTGAGGGCTGTGTGGGTAGAGAACTGGTAGATGGGATACCATGTAATACCAGGAAGTGAGACAGCACTGGGGGGGGGGGGTAATACAAACATACATGGGAGTGAACATATGCATATGTGTGCAGGGGTGATGACCCAAAGCCGGAAAGGCAAGCAAGGAACAAATCAGGAAGGATCTGAGGGCTGCAGGAGAGAGCAGTAAGGAAGTACACTGTGATCCCATCACTGGAGCAGCACAATAAGGTCTCACTCTCTCCACTTAGGTTTTCAGTGGAAAAAACACCACTACCCTAATGAAGTCTACTTTGTTGAGAGCCAGAGTGAATGCTGGAAGCACACACATGGCTTTTTCCGTAATCCAGGTAAAAGATGGGGTTCGCTTGAACCCAAGTGTTGGCACTTTTCTATAGGCATTCTGAAGGTATGCTCATGGATCTGCTTTCTCTAAACAAGGCCAAGTCTCATAAGAAAAATAAAATTAACAATAAAAAGTGAAAGAGCTCGGTTTCTTATTCCTTTGAGTTTCAAATTTGTCATTTGAACAGTGTAACTCAAAAAAGATCTTGATCTCAGAATCCCAAGGCAGGCTGAGCAATCGAATAGAATGTCTAATGTTTTGATTGGTGTCTTCATTAGTCCTTAAGTTTCACGGGAACAATGTGTTTTATTCACTTCTTTCTTTTTTGTTGTTGATTGTTTTGTTTTTTGAGACAGAGTTCCTCCATATTGTTTTGGAGCCTGTCCTAGAACTAGGTCTATAGATCACACTGCCCTAGAACTCAGATCTGCCTGCCTCTGCCTCCCAAATGCTAGGATCAAAGGCGTGTACCACCAACACTCGGTTTGTTAATGTCTTGCAACTGGAATTTGGCACAGAACTCCACAGCCAGTACATACTTAATCTATGAGATCAATCTGAGACTAAGGCCTTCAATTCTAGTTCCTCTCTGCCCCCCCCCCCCACTCCATTACAAGCACATTCCTAACAGCCTGGATTCCAGTCTCATCAGCCCAATAACACACAGCCAGGCTGTATTAGATATAAAGCTGTTGGCCAGTTACTAGCATTTCTTATTGGCTAGCTCTGTCCTAAATATTAACCCATTTCTATCAATCCCCAGAATCTTTATCCCCTATTCCCACCTATCTTGCATTCCTCTTGGCCAAGAGTGTTTTATTCATTAACCAGTAAGAGAAACATATTTACAGAATGACATCTCCCATCACCCCCCCCCCCTTTAAATCCTGTAATTTGGTGTTTCTGTGTACAACTCAACGCCAGAACAGGATGAGTGATACACCACATACTATCCATCCCTCACACCCCTAGCTGATGTTAGGTCCTAGGAACTAAAGTATAGTCGTCTTGCAAGATCAGCAATTGTGCTTAACCACTAAGCCATTTCTCAAGCACCCCAAATGACTCTGTAATATAACCACTACCAATATATATACCACAAAAAGTTTCCAGATAAACTTTCAGATAAAATGCACACTCTGGATATAAATTTAGGACATCGTTATTTAAACCTTTTCTTTTTAAAGTTGCTCTTCCCACGAACTTCTGTGAACTCGTGACAAATATAAAAGCACTGAATTCTGGTCCTTCTACAACAGAGATTTTTTTTTTTTTTTTTTAACCTTTGTATCATGACCTATGTACTACAGGATATCTCAAAACCCAAATCTCATTTTAACCTTTATAGTCTGTGGCACCAGCAGGTTTGATTTTGCATGTACCTTCCAAAACTCATTACCAACCCATTAAATACTTGCCTTCGTAAATTGTTTACAGAAATACCCTTATGTAAAGAGAAACAAAACCAATGTTGAAAACAGGCCTAAGGTTAAAGAAACAAATCCATCCTATTAGCAAACTTCGTCCCTTATATGCTACATAGGAAACAGAACACCGTGATTTCTACTACAAACTTCCTATATTAAACATTGCATTACAACTTAGTTGAGTGTGGCATTTGATTCGCCAGTTTCAGGACGAATGGGCAACAATTAGCAAAAACTTCATTTCACATTTCATTAGCTCACCAATAAAATTGGGATTGAGTTTAAAGTTTCTACTTAGCCGCATAATGTAATATAGGTAACTTGTCTTAATACTATTAGCACAGCTCTTCCCAGTGTTTTTGTAGTTGGCTCTGAAAAGAGCCTTTGGTGAATTGTTAAGATTGTTCCATACAGTTCTCTCACTTTCCTTTGGCCTTGTGGTGGCTCTCGGTCTTCTTGGGCAACAGTACGGCCTGGATGTTGGGCAGGACACCGCCCTGCGCGATCGTCACGCGGCCCAGCAGCTTGTTGAGCTCCTCGTCGTTGCGGATGGCCAGCTGAAGGTGGCGCGGGATGATGCGCGTCTTCTTGTTGTCGCGGGCGGCATTGCCAGCGAGCTCCAAGATCTCGGCAGTCAGGTACTCCAACACCGCTGCCAGGTACACCGGGGCTCCGGCGCCCACCCGCTCCGAGTAGTTGCCCTTGCGGAGGAGACGGTGCACACGGCCCACGGGGAACTGCAAGCCAGCTCGGGAGGAGCGGGTCTTGGCCTTGGCGCGAGCCTTGCCACCCTGTTTTCCACGTCCAGACATGATACACAACGAGCTGTGAAAAAAAAAAAAATCAGTAAGCCAGCACAAAGAGGCACACACTGGCGCTGTTTATAGTCAATGCAAGGCGCGAAAATGGAGCGATTTCATTGGCTACATAAAACTGTATCATGTAACCCAATGGCACCGTGGTTTTGAAAAGTCCTTGCTTTGATTGGATACTAAGTGAATGACGTTTGCTAATCGCGATAAGCACCGTCACAAGTTTGTTTTAAAAGCAGCCAGTGCCGAGAGTACATCCAGACTGTTACTGTCTATCTTCTCTTTTTCATTGTGTTCTTCACCATGCCTGATCCCGCGAAGTCCGCGCCCGCCCCGAAGAAGGGCTCCAAGAAGGCCGTGACCAAGGCGCAGAAGAAGGACGGCAAGAAGCGCAAGCGCAGCCGCAAGGAGAGCTACTCGGTGTACGTGTACAAGGTGCTGAAGCAGGTGCACCCCGACACGGGCATCTCCTCCAAGGCCATGGGCATCATGAACTCGTTCGTCAACGACATCTTCGAGCGCATCGCCGGCGAGGCTTCCCGCCTGGCGCATTACAACAAGCGCTCGACCATCACGTCCCGGGAGATCCAGACGGCCGTGCGCCTGCTGCTGCCCGGGGAGCTGGCCAAGCACGCCGTGTCCGAGGGCACCAAGGCAGTCACCAAGTACACCAGCTCCAAGTGAGTCGCTGACCACACTCTTGACCCAAAGGCTCTTTTCAGAGCCACCTACAGTTTCCCTTAAAGTAGCTGTTACATGTCTGAATCCTTTGTGCCGAGTGTTCTTAGGCATGGTAGGTAATAAAAGGCATAAGTCAAAAATTTGGAACATAAACTTGGGACCATTTTTTTTTCCCATACTCACCTTGGAGATTTTTTGGAAATGCAACTATTTCCCAAATAGTGAATTTTAAGCGTTGGTATTGGGAACCTGGAGAAGTCAACTTTTCATTTCTCCATACTGGCAAAGTAGTGTGTAACTACAGGTCGGCTATGCTGTGTGAATGCTGACGGGCCATCTGCAAGGCTGTGTGATTTGAACAACACAAATCCGGCAATAGTATTAACCCAAAGGGTCTTTTGAAAGCTACTGAGTACTGAAGTACATTTCTTAGAAAGTTGTTATTCTTAAGTGCGTAGTATTAAGACATTACCGACTTGTACACTAAAGTTTTCCCGTTCTTTGAAAGCGTATGTGCACACATGACACCTACTTCTCAATTTTAAAATTTGCTTTTGAGTGCAGTGCTATTTAGGCATATTTGGTTTTACTATTGAACTTTATTTTACCAAAAGTGAAACTAAGCAAACGAATTTCTGACCATCTGAAAGTAGCCTTCAACGTCCAATCCAGGCGCTGCGCGGGCAATTTAAAATTCACGCGCCAAATCTTTATCCGAAATTGGGACTCACTTCCGCAATGGTGTTAGTTTCCTCGCCATTTGTGCAGTGCTTCACCGTACATTTCTCTGTCTCTGACACTTGGAAGGGACTAAAAAGGGAAAATCAGAAGGCTTTTGCTACCTGTTACTCTACCCTCACCTCCAATAATCAAAATAGGCTTTCAAGTTTAAATATGCAATAACAAAATTGAAACATTTTAAAAATCTGCACCTGGAATCCACATGAATCAGCTTCCATAATAAGTTTATTTTGCTCAGTTCTTTTGTTGGTGCGCTTTATATGATTAGGATATTCTAGTGCCTTTTGGCTGTTTTCATGGTAATATGCTGCTGTGTTTGCATATTTGTTTTGTTTTGTTTCAGGAACAATGGTGTTCTTTCAAATAAACTAGTAGAAATAACCATCTAAAAGAAATGTTTTAATTAAGGCAAATTAACACAATGCAAGTCAAAGAAGAAAATGGCTGAAATAAAGTATTTAATTTCAGAGTCATGTCTCTGGAGGTTTGCAAATAATGGTATGTAATAAAACCAAATCCAAATTTGAAGTTCATTTAAAAACATGTATTACAAACTGATAAATGAAAATGTAAAACTATTAGACAAAGGCTACTTTAGTTGCAGAGGTAAGTGTCTAAGATGATAGGGGAAGCACAGAGACTCTGAAATCCTTTTTTGGAACCAGTAGTTTGCTCTTGTGTCTCATAATTTGCTTTATATTTTAGGTGTGTGTTTCCTATAACCTGTTTGTTATCAAATGCTTTATGATAATATAAATACAATAGAGAGGCAAGAAAGCTGTTGGGGAGGGAGGGATCTAAGCCTCATTAAAAATAGAAAAACCTATGAAACCTAGATAGAGGTTTTCTTATTTTCCTTTGGAAAGAGGAGGAAGGAAGAGAAATAAAGTACAAATGGAGGCATGTAACAAGACTCATGGTTTTAGGTATGGGCTAAAATTAACTAAAAGATCAAAAGACACTAAAACAAGGAATAGCAAAGGACTCGGCTTATTTGGGACTTGGAGTACAGAATCTTTATTCTTAGCCATATTATACTGCCGTAGCTCTCAATACAAGATACAGAGTGCATAAAATACCACCTTGTAATGTTGGTTGTTTTCTTACTAGACAAAGAGCAGCTTTTTATATGTTACTAATTAAACCTTTTCCCAGAAGATAGATGAGAAAAAAAAAAAAAAAAAAAAAAACCATGACTCATGGCCAGGGAAATACTTGTTGGAGTATGAAGGCAATGTTCTGACATAACTCTGCAAATATAACCTCTTGCTTTCAAGGATTATCTGGCAAGTGTACAGTCCTGGGCTGACATTAGTTCACCTAGTATCTTTATTTTCCCCCTTTTGGTTTAATCTTATTTTGTTATATAATGTTGCAATCAGCTGCTCGATGTTGAATTACGTTTTTTGATGTTGCAAGGTATTTATCTAGGGTATTAAAAATAACAAAAGCAAATAATCATTATAAACATTACAACATAGAAAGTGCTTGCAATCTTAAGTTGATCAAATGAATTTAACTTCCCCAAGGCACCAGCAATACTCTTCCATAATTTATGGACAGATAGTCCATTTAATTGTTTTGCAAATATGAGTAATATCAGACAGTAATTTCAACATTTTCTCATTCATTGTATGATTTACTACTTATCATGATTTAAGAAATGTTTTCTAACCTTATCCAAAAAGTAATGTACAAATAAGTCACATTCCAATCGCATCTTAATGACAATTGTCTTTGTAAGTTAACAAGTTGGCCATCTGTAAAGGCATCCAAACACCAGTCTGAGATCAAAGTACATAAATGATCTCTGGGAGCAAAAATTAACCAGAGTAGCATTTAAACACCTCTATAAGGAAAAGTTGGAACACAACACAGATCCTTCAAAGTGATCCCAAATGGTTTCTCCAATCATAAAAAATAAACATTGACATAGTAGTACTTTTTTATGTGATACTTTTTTATTTATTAAGAGAACAGTCTCAATGTTAGAAACATTTTCCCACGTATCCCTTTTTCATTCCCAAATGCTACCCAATGTTATTATTAACTTCCAAAGATGTTCTTGAGTAGTTCTTTCCTTCTTATGAGGAGAGGATGAGGACATGCCATACTGTCCCCATGCCATACTGACTCCTCAGAACCATTACTATGGATAGTATGGTATAATTATTACACAACTATTGTAATTCTTTGCATTTCCATTTTGTGCAAGCAGAAAGCTACAGAGCTCCAATCTTTGACACTACCATAGGAAGTGTTAATAAGAACTCACGCCTCTGGTCCTTTATTTTGCTTCCATTCATAGCAACAGGACTATGGCAGGGGGAAGATGATGTGGGGTGAAAGTATCATCAGTAATATTTTCTTTAAATGCCTTACCTACTAAAATGAACAGACTCTTCCCTTCATTTTTTTTATTATGAATAATAGATAACCATCCCCTAAATATAACTTTCAATGAACTTCATGCCAAATACAAAATGGAAGTCCTTCCACTCATATTTCATAAGATGAATTCAAATCTAAGCTCACTGTAATGGGAAACAAGGAACCACTACTGCCATAGGGTCCTGGAATTCAATTAGTGTCATTAGTATTAATTGGAATCCCCAATCCCCCTAATGTAATACTTAGTTTAAGTGGCAATTGGAAATGAAAAGGCAGGAAGTAAAATTATTTGCCTCACGTAAACAGCAGTGCTCATGATCATGGCCAAGAACAGGTTTTAGGCATTTTATTTTGTACCAACTTATTTATTACCTCTGGGATTGTTACCCAAAGGCAATTAAGCTCTATGAAAAATTTGACGTGTTTCACAATGTGAAGTTACTGCTTTTGCCAATCTTCAAGTGACAAGAACTTTTCTTTTTAAAGCTCTTCAGTTAGCATGTGAATCTGCATGAAACTTGATAGCTCCAGGTAAAAAGGTACAGGAATATAATTGATATGTATTGATTAAAGAAAATGTGAATTGATTAAGATTGTCCATGAGGCCAGGGAAATTGGTGTGTAATTTTATGTGTATAATAAAATGTGGATTAATATGAAGCATTAATAGCTGCTGTAACTGTGAGGAATACAGTACAGTCATATTACATTAACTTATAGTTCATTACTTCCCTTTTAAGAGATCTTAAAGCCTGATTCCATGTTTTCTCATTAAGGCTGCCCTTCTACAGGGGTGGAGCCAACAGCAATGTTTCTTAACTTGTTTAAAAAATTGTGGGAAAGTATTTATTTTTACAAGTACTCCACCTCCCTTAAGCAAGGCTTTGACAATATATATATATATATATATATATATATATATATATATATATATTGATCTTCAACTGACAGGGAATTTCCCATTTCTTTGCTGTTAATTTGAAACATTTTGCTTAACTCTGAGCAGACTAGTTCCCTTTCGGTGTTGCATATTTACTGAAAGCTGCATGGCATTCTTTGAGGTATTTTTATTTTCTTTTGGGAGGAGGAAGAGAAATAAAGTCCTGACAGGCCAATAGCAAGGATCATGGGTTCATCTTTGGGCTAAATTTAGGAGCTGGGGATAATTTTTAAATATCTTCAGTAGTCTACAGACTCTTAAGTTGTCTTAGGAATCCTGGGTCCCAGTACGTGCTTGCTATCCAAACAGAGATTAATTTTCATTAGCTTCCCCACATTGTTTCATGTGCGGAATTTGCATTGGGACTGCTGATACTTATGTTCCTTTAGAGTACACTAACAGTTTCTATAAGGTGTGCCTGATGCTGCCCCTGTCCTTTCAAAGGTTCAACTCTTTCCCAGCCCCACAAAACCTTCCAGTAGAATGATCGAAGGAGGCTGGAGTGATGATGTCTTTTCGAGAGGAAGACGGTGCAAATTCTAGCAACCACAGGGCAGCTCACAAATGTCTGACTAGAATGCCTCCCTTCCTGCAGAGAGTACCAAAAGCTAACTCACCCAGGTTCTTGGAAACACATTGGTGAGTTTTCCCGTGAGAAAATACCTAACAAAAGCAACTGAAGGAAGGAAGGAAAGGGTTATGTTTGCACCTAATTTGAAGGGATAAAGTCCATCAGAGCAAGGTTGGCATGTTAACCACCCTGACAGGGGAGTAGACACTCTACTGATAAACACTCAAAACCCTTCCTTCAGATATCAGGCTACCTAAACTATGCTACATAGTTCTGTGGGAAGGCACAGAAATGAAAGGCTCTAAAGTGGCTACATGATTGAGTGGCAATTATAAAATCAACTTAAAATGCAGAGCAAGAAGAAGGGAGGAAAAATGATCAAGCCAACAGCT